TTTTTTTCTTACCAAATGTCTCCTCAATTAATATATAGAAGATATGTTTAACAAATAATAGTTCACTATTTTTTTTTTGGTCAAATAATAGTTCCCAATATTTATAAATTTATTTAAGTATGTTTGTTAGTCAAATTTAGAGACAAATATTGGATATTAACCGACTTTTTTAGTTGTTTGTGTTATGTGGAGATTTTTAAAATGGGTCGATTGCAAGAATATTAATTATAAACATATAAACACAACAAAAGTTTTATGACTAAGATTTATCTTCTCCACATCAAAAACAAAGACATATCTTTACCTTTTATTCTGTTTGGATTGTTTATATATTGTTAATAAATTGGAAACGACCAAGTCTTGAATCAAAAATCTTTGATTGGTTTTGATTTCCTTTCTTATCACAAGAATATCCATTTTGTTAATTAGATTTACCAAAAAATTCAATTGAAGAATGGTCTCAAAAAACTATAACTAACAATTTTGCTCAATTTAGTCAACAATGTTGCTCAACCAAATTAACAAATATATAGTTTTGTTTACAAATATATTTATATGTTTATTGGTCACAGACTTAGAAACAATGCTTAATATTAACTAACTTTTTCAGTTATTCGTGTTATGTGGAGATTTTTAAAACCAAATTCTTTGGGATCTCAAATATTAAATAATTAAACTATATTTGGCAAACTGTAAAACAATCATTGTTCAGAGCCAAAAATTATCGTTTCAAAATATGGTCAAAACTGTGTAGAAAGTAAAGATTTTAATTTTTGGGTGCATGAATCAAATTTCTGGTTCTAATTGGTCCGATTTCGATTTATTACTGGCCTAATCATCATTACTTGATGCCTTACGCGATTAGTAATTTGAGGATTTTGATTGAGGACTCTTTTTTTTTTTCTTTTAGGCGATTTGAAAATTCGTTCTTTTTTCCTAAATTATTTATGGTTTGTCATAAGAAAACTCCGATTAGACTCTTTTTATCATCTGAACTACTGTTCTTTTTCAAGAATAAAATATTTTACAACTATGGAATATTTATTTTGTGGAAAAGAAGTGTTCATGTGACAATTTTTGTGTCCAAGAATTTTTGATTCATCTTTTAAAGATATTGATTAAAGCTTTTTTATAACTTTCAAAATGGCCATACCAATTAGACTATTTGATCCAGAATCATGAAATTCTGGATGTCTTTTGACAATTTTTTTTGCATTTTTGCTAGATTTTTATTGTCGAACACAAGATACGACTTTGACCATACAATTTGAACGTTTATGTCTTTGTTTCTCCGTCACACACACACTTGGTTGGTACAATAACAAGATTATTGTCACTGGAACCTTACAACAATACAAGAGATGTCTTCTTTGCTTTTCTTAGAGATTGCTTCTTCTATCAACTCTTTCGCTGCCGCTTGTTTATCTTTTATGCTTTTGATCGTGTCCACAACTTCTTGGTTTGACATCACCTGTTATAAGACACAACATTTGTCAAGAACATTTATCATAATTAAATTAAAATTCCATCACTCTGGTGATAAGGTCTTTATTATACCCCTTCCAGATTCCATCACTCGCGAAAACAATGAACTCGGTCTGTCTAGTTCTGACCTTAGATGTATCTTTAAAGCTCTTATCTCCAAAAGCCCTCGCAACCGCTAATTGTCCATCAATTCTTAGAACATCCCCTGTAACACCAAAGGCCATCTATCAACTCCTCTTCACATCTTTGTATATGTGAGTAACTCTGTTTGATAAAGTGACCAAAGACTAAAAATTGCAACAATACATTTTCGTTTCAATTAAGATATATGATCAAAATAAAAGAACAAAACATGACATTTGTATTGTATACATGTGTGGTTTAGGTTTAGGATAGATCTGTATTAACTTTCACATTTTTATTTGTTTTGATAGAAGAATTTTGAAATTTGAGATTTGGTATATTTCGTTGACTTCTTTGTTGCAATTTTGTCTTCAAAAAG